CCTTTAACAGATCATTTACCAGAAAACAACCGTATTTTCCCCATTACTCTTGCTAACTACGCCGGAATCCAGAGAGAAAAGAAAAAATCAAACTAAAAGCTACAGATACGTGCAGCTTACGACACTCTTAATAAATACTAACAATCAAAATCATATTGACAAGCATTAACAAGAAAAAAACAATAAAAAAATGAAACAATTAATAGAATCTTCATACATCTCCCATCTTATTATAACAATCTAGAAAAGAAACTGAAGAAAACCCCATGAATGAAAGTTGGAAGAGAAACAAGCAAATGTTCGTCATGACTCCCAAATCCCCTGGAGGCCGGACACAAAGCCGGTCTTAGACTCCAAAGGACGTGCTAAGGAGAGCCATAGACGAGTAAATAATATGGCACAAATTTTGAGCTAAGCAGGCATTTATGAAATGAACCTGAAAACCTTCGATATGTGCTTTTGCAGACCCAACAATCTCAATTTCTAGGGCAAAATAAAATACTTCAACAGAGAAGAAGAAGAAGAAGAAGAAGAAGACGATATAGAGGAAGAGAGAGAGGCAGTACCTTTTGACGGAGATGGAAGGATGGATCTCCAAGTCCCAAATGCTATGGAAATCATGTTATTTATAAAGTACCAGAGATTAGGGTTTTGGGGGGTTTAAGAAAGAAATTTGCAACCTCATCCTTTTATTTCTGGTATTTAAATTATATCCCACACGTTACTATTAATTCTTTTATTGGACCTGGGGAAAGGAAAACTATTTTAAATTTTTACAATTTTTTTTTAAAGTATAAATAAAATTTAAAAAATATAAATAAAAAGAGTATATATTTAAACGTCTATTTATAATAATTAAATAATTTGATATATCAAAATAGTCATAATTAAGTGATAATGTGTTTTGATCGTTTAGTTTTTAAATTTTTTAAATTTGTATTTCATAAAATCTTATTTTTAAAAAAATTAAATACATATATACTTTTAAGAATATTTCAATATCATATTAAAAAAACGCTATTATTACACTCCTTTTATTTTACTTGATTGATCGTTAATTAAACAAATATTGAATTGTGTCAAAAACCTACTCGACATAAAATAAAATTTTAAAAACTTTAATTAAACAAATTTAAAAATTTTCCGACCAAACCTATAATCAAACTAGAATTACTCGATCTTGTTCAGTTACTATGACGAGTTCAGTAGAGACTAATTAATATAATATATAAACACGAAAAATATTTCATTTATATAGCAATTACATGGACGTAAAAAAAAATAATAATAATTATATGTTACCTATAAGATTCAAATTCCTTCCTCTATTGAGTAGGGTTTCATTTATTATTATTATTATTATTATAATTTTTGGAAATTATTTGCAAACTACCAATTCCTAATAATAATAAAGATTATTATTATTATTATTATTATTATTCAAAAAAAATAATATCCTAATATTAGTAATTCAGTTCCTGGTCTTGCACTTCTCCAATGCTCTTGGGGCTGTAAAATTAACAATCTATATATTAATTTACATTATCCAATAATTTTATTTGTAAACAAAAATAAATAAATAAATAAATAAATCAAATAATATTTGTAAACTTATTAAATTCAATTTAAAATAAAAAAAATAATAATAACAAAATAATTTTTAGAATTGGTAGATTTTATTATAATGCATATTTTTGTTATTAACTTACCGAGTCCAATGGTCTCGAATTCTTTCATTATCCTCAAACGTTTGCATGAATCCACAAACATACTGTCGAATTAAACAATAAAAATGATTTTTTTTTATATATATAATGAATTAGAGAAGATAAATAAATAAATAAATAAATAAATAAGCGGAGTAAAACTTACTTCCATGGCACATCGCCCACGAGCATCCAATCTCCATCTTTGTCTTCATAAGTAGGCACGTAATCAGTCTTGTTTCGTACATCCATTGATTTGCTTTCGTTCGTGTAATTCTTCATCTTTTGTGCCCCACAATTACCTGATATTTTGTAGGAGTGTACAAGGGTTGGAAAAATCTTTTGAACCAACTCGAATTTGGTGACCCGAGCAACCCGAATAGAGTTTACAACCAAACCCAATCTTTTATTTTCGAGTTGGGTTGTCGAATTGTTCTTTTCACTTTTTAATTATTGAAAAATTATACTTACCCATCATACCCATTTCATTCATAAGTTACAATGCATCATTAACACCGAATAGAGACGTATATATCCACAATAATTTTAAAAGTAGAATAGAGTTAATTCAATTTTCGAGTTGATCATCAGATCACTGTTAATCTACTAACCTCACTTGAGTTTTCGATTTTTCAAAAATTGAACTCAACTTATGTGGTTTGAGTTGGTTAGTTCAAGCTAGTCAGATTATCGAGTCATTTGTACTAATTTCGAGATAGTAAAAGTGAAAAGTAAGTTGGAATTTTACCTGTGGTGAAAGAAGCAAACATTTTGCTCAAGGCATCAGAAAGCTCTTGGTAACTTCCGTACATCTTCATGTCCACTTTTCGCAAGTACGGTGCGCCGTCCATACTGACTTTAATAAACACCGCCGCATCGGAACCGCCGCTGACGGTGGCGCCTTTCTCGGTTTCCTCTGTACTCTTCTTCGGAGCTACGATGTTTCTTCTCAACGACTTTACCGGTGGCCAACCGACAACCTGGGCTCTGTTAAAAATAATATTATAAAATTCTCACCGTTAATAATTTTGGAAATTGTATTTAATTTCAATTGGTTTTATATTGTTTTTTTTAAATCATAATAATAATAATTATTCTTTCTTTTTATTGTCATGTCATTATCTCAAATTATTATACTCAAACGAAATTAGTTAATTATTGGCTTTTGGTGATGCCAAAAGACTTTTTTGGAAGATAAAATAATATGTATTATTGGATGATGAAAGTTCCACATTGGGTTAATTTAGGGAATGATCATGGGTTTATAAGTGAGGAATACTAACTCCATTGGTATGAGGCCTTTTGGGAAGCCCAAAGCAAAGCCATGAGAGCTTATGCTCAAAGTGGACAATATCATACCATTGTGGAGAGTCGTGTTCGTCTAACATGGTATCAGAGCCATGCCCTAAACTTAGCCGTGCCAATAGATTGGCAAATCCTCGAATGTCGAACAAAGGACTCCAAAAAGAAAAAGGAGTCAAGCCTCCTCGAAGGTACGAAGGCAGTCAAAAATGACTAAGACTCCAAAGGAGTCGAGCCTCGATTAAGGGGAGGCGTGCTTTGTTCGAGGGGAGGTGTTGGATGATGAAAGTCCCACATCGGGTTAATTTAAAAAACGGTGTACTTGTCATTTAGGTAATTTTAAATTCGATTTAATTATTCGGTTGATAAGTTTTTTCAGTTCAAACAACTCTTATTAAATAATAAACCTAGTCATTTCTTTAAAATTTTGTCTTTAATAAAAAAGTGATATTTAATAAACATTTATTTGTATTTTTTAAAATTAGTAATAAATTTTATTTAAACCTATAAATCTAACATAGTTTATAAATTTTGTATTTATTTAAATTCAACAAACGAAATTAAATTCATAACTCAAACGGTTGAGTTGGGTTGATCAAATTTTTTGAGTAATCAAATTCGAGTATTAAAAAATAAAAAATAAAAACAAAAAAATCAAATATTTAAATGCTTTTTAAAAAGTATATTAACTTATTTACTCTCTATGGAAAATTAAAATGCTTTTAGGAAAAACACTTTTTTTTTATAAAAGAGAATACTAAAAAAAAGAATAATTACAAACTCAAAACTTAGAATTAGTAATTATTTTTAAAATTATAAAAATAATTTGTAATTTAATGTAAAGAAGAAAAAAAAAAGATTCCAAATGTTTTGTAGTTTTCCTATGTTTTCCCGACAACCAAAATAAATAAATAAAAATAAAAATAATAATAATAATAAATTCCTTTAAATTCGAAACCACAATAATAACCTTTTGTTTACTTGGTCATCCTTTCTTCCTCTTCTCAACTCAATTATTGAAGGCCCAAAAACATTATCATTATAATTTTAATTTTTAACTCCATTTTTTCTCAAAAGAAAACAAAATATAAATTATATTTAAAAAAATCAATGCATATATATATATATATGTATATATATGAATTTTTAATTAGTAATGAAATTGGCATTAATTAAAATTCATCTTCTTTTAAAAATTAAAAAAAACCCCATAAAATTATCTTTACTAACCCTTTTAGCTTTAAAAGCTTTTAATGTTTTATTTAAAAATAATTAAAAAATAAAATAAAAAAGGAGAAGGAATGATACTTGGGCGGTGGAGGCTTGGGACGATCTGTACCGACGGAGCTGGAAACGGCATTCGCGTCCGTCGTTTTGAGGCGTTGGTCGGAATCCGCCGCGAGATTGAGCTTCAAATCCAAAGTTTGAGTGAAACCCCTTTTCTTGACGGCGTCGCCGCCGGGGAGGCCAAGGCGGAGCTCCGTCTGTTCAAAGTCTATTAAGCTTCCCATTTTCACTCTCTCTGTGTGTTCAGGGAAAAGAAGTGGGTATGGAGGATGAGGAGAAAATAATATTATAAATAATATATGAGGGAATTTTATTTATTTATTTATTTGTTTATTTATTTTTAATTTTAATTATAAGTGCCTTTGTATTGGGACATTAGGGACACATGCGTCTTCACGTCATTATTTTTCTTAAATTAATAATTTTTTTATCAAAAATTATATCTAAAAATTTAGAAATATTAATATTAATTTTAAATATTTTAAATTATTTCTTTAAAGTAAATGAGAGCTTAAATTGGTACCTAAGTTTATAGATCAACATTAATCAAACCGGTTCGGTTTCCACACTGTTTCAGCCCGAACCGACCGTGATTTATTTTCTCAGTCTCTCGCGCCTCTTTCAGTCTCCTCCTTTCACCCTTTCAACTTTGCTGCCGGCCGCCATATCTGTATCCACCGGCGTCGAATCCCGCTACTCGTTTCCCACTTTCGGTTGTATCACCTTCCGCTGTGAGAATATGTTTCTTTTTCTCTCGTCGGCGCCTCTGTGAGTTCTTGGCTGGTTTATTTTTACTTTCATCTTGGTTTTCAGGTATCCTTTTGCCCCTTTCTTCACGGATTCCGCCCTGCTTGAATTTTTTGGCTAATCGCTTCTACGCATTTTACCTAATTTTTAGGGAGATTTTCGAGATAATCTTTCGATTGCTTATCTGAGATCTGACTAACCGAATATCTGACCTTCTCATGTGCTCAAAAAGCCATTAGTTAATCATGTAGTTCGTTTTCATATTCAAGAATGTGATTAATTAGAGGCTTTCGGTATCTATTTCATTTTACAAGCTTTTCTCATTCTTTCTTGTGTTCATGTTTGAAGGCTTATGGTGTTCGATCAGTTGCTCCAATTAAAATAAACTGTTCAATCTATTTTTGGTTTTTGAATTTTTTTTGGAAGGTGCTTACCTCGCTGCCATTCAATCTCCCACTCTTTCTGCTCATGCTCGACGACATTAAGGTTAGTTTTCCGGTCACCGGATGTTTTTTGAGTAACGGATTGCTGAATTTCTTTTGAGTTTTGACTGTTTTTGAAGGATTTGGTTCTTGAGCTCTGTTCTTATTGTCTTTCTGAATGATGCTATGCAATATTGAGTATTAACATACCGTTGTTAGGAGGAATAGAGAGAATAATTGAAGCCCCTATTCTGTCATGTTTTTCTTTTGGGTTGTGAAGCTGACGATTGGTTGTGTTTTGTAACGGCCTAGGCCACCGCTAGCAGATATTATCCTCTTTGGACTTTTTCTTTTGAATTTCTTCTCAAAGTTTTTAAAATGCATCTACTAGGGAAAAGTTTCCACACCCTTATAAAGAGTGTTTCGTTCTCATCCCCAACCAATGCGGGTATCGCATGTTTGGTTATAAAAAATGAACTTGATCTTTGGTTGGAAGGGGGAGATGAACTTTAGGAACTCTAGCAATTTAGTATTCTTTGGACAAAAAACTGCAAATAAACGGAGATTCTGGTTGGGTTTGTTTTGCACAAAAAAAAAGAGGACCTGACCCAACCCACTTACGTCTCTAGATTTAATATCTTACAAGTTACCTTTACAACCAAATGTAACACGAAGAGGAAGAGGTGGTTGTCTCATGAGAATAGGCAAGGTGCCAAAACTAGCTCTAACCAACTTTACTTGAAATAAGAGCCGTCTATATGCTTTCAATTCATGAACTTTGCTTAAAAAGTTACAGGTTATATTCCAAGTAAAATAAACCTATTTAAAAAAAGTAGAATCCTTAAATGGAGTCTAAAAGTTACTCGTTTTAGTTTTTAGCTATCGATATAGATATAGATAAGGGAAGTTCGAAAAGATGTTGAAGTTCGAAAAGATTGTCCCTATCTCTTTACCGTGAACCGTTAGGTGCACTTGTTTCTTGTTCGTATATTCGTTCTGCATTTCTGCATCTCATAGTTAAGGCCATTTGTTTGTGCAATGAGTTTGTTACTTGTCACTAACTATTTAGCAAGTGTTTGTTTACTTCTTGTCAATTCATATATGCTTGTGCTTTTCATGTTTTGGATTTCGATTTCGAGAAGTTTTGCTCCGTCTCTCTCTCAAATCTGAATGTTTATGCTTGCCTGGTATGTGGTAAATTCTCAGAACTCTACTTAGGCTGAGTACATGGCAATAACTGAAGCTGGGAAGGATATGATATGGATGACAAACTATTTAGAAGAATTGGGTAAGAAGCAGCATGAGAATATTCTTTATACAAATAGTCAGAGTGTCATTCAGTTGGTGAGGAACCCAGTTTATCATTCAAAGATAAAACACAAAAGACGATACCATTTCACTCATAGGTTAGTAGTGGAAGATGGTGATGTGTTTGGAGAAGATAGAGGGTGCAAATATCCTAGCAAATATGTTGACAAAATGTGTTGATGTTGGAACATTGAGGTTGTGCAAAGCCTCGATTAGTATGGTGCAGTGAAGATGTTGATAGTTGTTTGAGAATGAAATTCTTGGTTGATTGGATCAGTAGGTGCGTGTTTAGACAAACATTACACGGGTAGCAGGCGTTGCACACAGAGGTGTGATATTCACATACTACATGTAGCACTACGTGGCGACTATGTGCATACGCCTATGCGTCTTTGCATGCCCGCGCTCTTCGGACTGAAACAATGGACTTAGCCTCAGACAACTTGAAGAACTTGGGATTTGTTAATGAGTTTACAAGGTAAAGAAACAGACGGATGGTACTATATGATCTCTGATACCATGGTCAACACTCACTCTAGAATTGGCAAAGGTGAGGATTCTCCAACTCTGACCTTTTTCTCCTAAAGTTTACTACACAAAGTTTGTACAAGTGAATGAGATGCCTTCCCCACAAGTTGGAGGCGCTCCGTTGATACTCGTAAGTGTCTTGGCGCTCTCGTAGATGCTAACCTCAATCCCACTTCTTGGATGAGTCTTGGGGCTAAGTGTTTTTACCTTATATGCAGTGCTATGATAATATGCTAATCTCTAATCATATACTGAAATAAATACCATAATTTTTTTTTTTTTTTTTTTTTTTTTTTTTTTTTTTTTTTTTTTTTTTTT